CCAACCCCACACCATTTTAAACCCTATTCCTCCTATCTCTCTCTCTCTCTCTCTCCGTCTCTCTCGAGCTAAGATTCGCTTTCTCTCTCTAGATTTTGATCTAGATCGTTTTCAGGTACGAATCCTTGAGGCCCTATTTTTATTTTTATTTTTCTTTTGTAAATTTAAATTGCATTTCTAGAGATTTCTTTTGCTTCTCATTCTCCAAAATTTGATGATGGATTTGTATCAAACCACAGCTCGATCAGATCTAGATATTGAAATAAATGTGTAATTTTTTTTTTAATCAAAAAATAAATGTGTAATTGAATATAATCATTAGCTCACTTTGAATATTCATTTTTTGTTGTTGTAGAATTTTCACCAAATTTGTCGTTTTAATATTGTTCAATGTTTTATCAACATGGATTAAATTTGTTCAGAATATTAATTTTTGGGTTTTGTTTTTCTTAGTAGACAATAAAAGGTAATTGTTATTGTCATTATTTTTCTGTAATTTTCAAGGAAATTGAGGTGAATGTTAAGTTAATTGAGATCTATACATGATTTTAGTTTGCACTTGCTAGTTTTAGCTGATTGAACTGTCTTTGAAGGAACTTTGGACCTACTTGAGAAATAGAATGAATAAGATCACATGTAAATTCTTAGAGCATTGCCTGGAATAAGTTTGAGGGGTTAGACCATGCAGGTTTCATGCCAAGGAGATTGTCTAAAATCTTTCTGGTTGACTGTGTCCCTTTTTTAATGACTAAATTGCCAATATACTTATGAGAGTACTAATGTTAGTATTGAATTGTTTTTCTTCTGAAATTATTTATCTCTAATTCATTGCGTCTATTTTCTCTTATTTTAATGTGCTTGCAAAATGGGGGTTTATATTTGATGCATTGTGAATTAACTTCACGGGGTACTTGTTGACAACTTATAAATAACTAGTATGGTGTTGCAGCTGGTATTTGCTAGGGTGGGGTGAGGACTTTATTCTGGGAATGGAGGATGCCAAAGAGCAACGAGTGGATGAGTCTGAAAAATCGCCACAGGAGGTTGTGTTCAAACTCTGGTTGTGCAAGATGCATAATGCTTGTCTTTTGTGTGTGTGTGTGTGTGTGTGTGTGTGTGT